TTTCGAAACGATCCGAACATTCGTCCCGCGAGTTGTCGATTACATTGGATCAGCACTTCAAGTACACACGATAAAAATCTCCTCCGCAATCTGCATTTGTTTTGCTTCACATCCGAATCATATAGACCAATGCATGAAATAAATTTCACTATCCTAACAGGAACTGATTAAGCTCGGTGCCAACACAATCTTAGTCCCGGGGAACTTCCCAATCGGTTGCTTGCCTATTTACCTAACGCAGTTCAAAGGATCGAGTGCCTCTAGCGATTACGACCCCAAAACCGGGTGCCTCAATTGGTTAAACGAGTTCTCGAGGTACCATAATGAGTTGCTCCAAAAGGAATTAAGCCGCACTCGGGCCCTTCATCCTCACGCTAGCATAATCTACGGGGATAATTACAATGCCGCGATGCGCTTCTATCTCTCCCCAGAAGAGTTCGGTAATGAATCGCATAGTTAACTTTGTCTTATCTATTATTATTATTATTACTAGTTCAAGGAAAAAAAAGAAGGCGAGTGTACAAATTATGAATGCAGGATTTACAAAGGGAATTTTGAGGGCTTGTTGTGGGAGAGGGGGGTTGTACAATTTTAACTGGTCGGCACAATGTGGCTTGGCTCTTTCGACGTGTTGTGAGGATCCGAATTTGTTTGCTAGCTGGGACGGCGTACACTTCACGGAGGCTGCCTATAGGTGGATTGCCCAAGGTTTGCTCCACGGACCCTATACGATTCCTCAAATAAGCACCTTTGCCCTGCAGTATCTTCTGTCGATGGTCGAGTGTATGAGTAATGAGAAACCATGAAGTGTATATTTGTGTAAATTTTATGTATAATATGTTAATAATAAATTGAAATTCGACTTGTGTATTGGCTTGGTTATGTCTGGATTGTGGATCGGCTCCTCATCTATAGCGGCCAGTAATCCTCGACACTGATTAAAGTTGTTGTTGATCGATATATCACTTGAATCAGAGTTGTTTGTGTGGACTCTTTCAATGAATGTTGAGGTGTGAACAAGTTTTACATGACTTCACATTGGTAGCAAAAATGACAATGACTTGACTGATAATTTATTTGCTATTGCAGTTTATAAGGGAACTGCTACAATTTCGTTACGGAACCATTTCGTCGGAGTTTGTAACTGTTA